AACTACACCCCCCACCCCCCCAACCAAAAAGCCCCAAACCAAAATCCTGCCTTTTTTTTTTTTTTAATAGCTGTTGTTTTACTCCTTAAGATCTCCTGTGATCCAGGTTTGGAAGGAAGACAGTGCTTACTGCATATGTAAATGATTACTTTGATACCTTTGAACGTCTTGTTTTTGTACTTCCCATCACATTCTTCTTACCTACTTGTAGGTAAAGGGGATTGTATAGAATGGTTTAGATGCTTGAGAAGAGTGAAGTGTTCATGCCAGGTATTGAAATGGCTATAGCATTTCAGCTTAAATCTACAGAATTGCCATGGGCTAGTCTTCTCTCTTCCATCTAGACTTTTACTATCTTACCGCCTCGAGATAGCATTCAGGTTTGATGTTTGAACAGTGGTGTAAAATGGAAGTGGGAGAAGGAGGTGCTAGTTCCAGTCTACATTCCGTGTGTTGCAGGGGTGTTTTATCATGGTGAAAAACAAGGCAGGGGCAAATTCCTTAATTCTCAAGAGGAGAAAATCTTTGTCTTAAACACTGTTCATGCTGCATAGTGAGTTTATGGACATCTACTGCTGAAGCTTAATGGCAGAACTCAGCAGTCTGAACTTCTCTAGCTTCAAGATGTGTGAGAGTTGAGTCTTGCTAGGTGCTATGCTCTCTCTGTGGTGGGGTTCTGGGGACTGCCACTTCACTTCTGTCTCTTCAGCATTATGCTGTCAGGGAACTGAACTCCATGACAGTAAGATTTCCCTGGATGGAAAAATCTTTCCTCTACATAATGGTTTTCCTTCTTTCCAGTAAATTACATCCATATACATGCATAAATAAACAAATACACGTATTTGGAGGGGTGGAGTGGCTTGCAGCTTCCTGTTTCTGCTTCTACAGGTGCTGTCAGACCCGGAGGAAGATATCGGAGAGTTAAATAAAGAGAATATGTGGGAACTGTCTTGTGAAACTGTGCGAGAGCAGCTTACCAACAGCATTAGGAAACAATGGAGAATGTTGAAAAATCACGTTGAAAAGCTGGATAACCAAGGTGACGTTTAACTGTAATACGTGTTCATATAAAATGCTATTGATAATTCCAGTTGGTATCAAGCTGTTAGGGTTTACTTTAATGACTGTCTTAAGCTAAAAGGAAGCTAAAATGGAAGAAATTATGATCTGGTAGACTTTCTGAAAGGGCTTGTGATTACCATTTTTCTGTGTGAGTTTTAATTGTAGGTAGTTAGGGAAGCAATTGCACACCAAGAATGTTATCATGAGAAAGGACACAATTATATTTTGACACAGTAAACAGCAACTTTATGAAAGTATGTTCCCTGTAGTAATGTTTGTTGCCTTTTCCTACCTTTTTGAGATCTACAAGTAATGCAGATGTAACAATTTGAAGTAATTGGATGCAAAATATGTAACTCCTTCTCAAGTCTAGGCTTGCCATATCCATACCTCTGAGGCTTCTTGTGGCAGTCTAAAGAATGGCTGATGGTATGGTGCTGGACCCTTCTCATTTCCAGCTGTTCAACAGTATTAAAAGGCAGCTAAGAATACATAAAATTCTTTCCTAGTATTATTTTCCCATGCAAGCAAATGTTGCTGCTACCACAGGGATGTTTGCAGTTAAGAATAAGACTGAGAAGGTCATGCATGCAATTGCAAATAAGAGCAGATGGTCTATGAGGATGTTTTTACCGTAGAAAGGATTTTAAGAGCACTTGTTCTGTGTAACGCTTGATTTGGTGTAACAAACTGAAAAAATAGTTGTAAGCGTCAGGAAAAATGTTTCAAGAATTTGCTGTTTTCATGGAGTCACCATTTTGTTTCTTGGATTTATACTGATGACCATAGCCTAGTCCTTTTGAATTTGATTAATGTTCAAACACTGGCATCAGGGGATCAAAACTTGGCTCATTACAATCACTGATAGCTATGCATGAAATGAAACAAAGCAATATGTAATTATACAAAATAAATTTTATTCCCCTCTCTAATTCATTCCCTTACTGGGATGAAAATATGCACACAATGTTTGTTATCTCTTTTTTGCCTTCACAGGTCTTGAAGGAAAGGCTTTCTTTTTATATCTGTCATATTTTTATGAACACACAAGCCCTTCAAAATGGGCTCAGAATAATAGGCTAACAGCATGTGAATGAAAAGAAGTCTTCAGTTGTCTTGATTTTTCTTTTAAATAACTGCTGAAACAAGTGGGGGTTTTGCGTGACACATATATTGCAGTGCAGATGCTTGGTTTACCTTGGGGAATGTGAAACAGCTATGCTTTCATTGCCATTTCTTTTCTGAACTCGATTTTGTGCATAATTACATGTATAGCACCAATTCTGGATCTCTTGTCTCTGAAAGAAGTGCTTTTGAATACACTGTGTATCTGTCTTTCAGGGTGAAACAAATAGTCTAAAACCTATTGCTATTGCTGTGAGTCCATGATATGAGGGATTTTTTTTAAGTATCTTTTTTTCCACATTAGTGTCACGTGTACATTCAGGAACTTTGAATGAAAAAGATGTCATTTCACGAGAAGACCATGAGCTGGAAACTGAAAAGCTAGAGTTAGAGATTCAGCAATGTAAAGAAATGATCAAAACTCAGCAACAGCTCTTGCAGGTAGTAGGCTTTAATTTTCCTTATTTTCTCTACTGAATCTAAGCTTTTTTGGTTTTTAATGTGCCACTTCTCTCACCTCTGAGCCTTTCCCTATTCTTTGATAAAGCTTTTTAAATATCTTAATTGTTAGTCTGAGTATAGATGTGCTAGTCAGTTGGTTAGTAATTTAATGAGTTTGTAATCCTGGTAGAAATAATTTTGGGGGATAAACAAAAATGAGGAAGGTTGAGGTCAGCTGCCTGAACAGGGACATTTTGCTTTCTGTCTGAAACTGCCCCCACCAACCACCAACTTGATACTTACTACATTGTTTCCATGTTAAACTCAACCATTTTTTTGATAAAACCGAACCTGTGGAAATACTGCACCTCTTTAACAGTTACTCCCAAATTAATATTTGTGTCTTTTGTTGCTTTATATCTGCAGCAGCAGCTTATGTCTCCATGTGATGATGACACCACTCTGTTACTACAGGACTGTTATTTGTTGGAAGAAAGAGAGCGTCTTCAGGAAGAATGGAGACTATTTCGAGAACAAAAAAAGAATTTTGAGAAGGAAAGAAGAAGTTTTACTGAAGCTGCTATTAGATTAGGACTTGAGGTATTAGAAAAGTGGAAGGATATTAGAAAAGGGAATTCCCATGAAAGATGTGTTATGATTAAGTAGTTTTACTGTTACACTAAAGTGCAGCTGTCCAACAGTATCTGCTTGTTAACATCTGTAGAGAAATAGAATTCACATACTGTATAAAACATCTTTGGTTATTGTAGGGCATCATTCTGTTGGCATTTAAAAACCCCACAGTTTTTGTGTGTATTGGAAATGCAGTTGCTGCAACTGGAATGACCTATTTTTGTTTCAGCTATTGCAATATCTAAGTACTTCCAAAAATCAGTCCAATTATTCACTAAACCATTTATTAGATGATGCTTAACTTTGGTTTTCTACAAAAGCAAGGCCTATTTTAGTCAGATTTGGTTTCACGGTTGCATTCTCAAATGATTCTTAAACTTTTGTGGAAATGTGTGACTGTTACAGAAACCTAAAGTAACTGCTGCCTTTTTCTTAGCAGGGTCATGATCTGTTCTGTTCCAGTAGTTACGCTGGCCAGTAAGCATGCATACGGGAAGGCACTGAGGGTAGATGTGTCACTAAATGAGCTCTAGCATGTGTCCCCTTTGGTCTAGCCAGTACTTAGGGCCAAGAACATGAAGGGGCTTACAAGTTTAGTAGGGAAAGGAGGTCATGATGATGTGGTCATGAGACTATGATGGTACAGATATGACAAGGAAAAAAGCCATTGAAGGGAAAAAAGTGGACTTAATTGCTTACAGAACTGCTTGCTTTGACACATAGAGGAGAAAGTTGGAATGGGATGTGACTAAAATTTATAAAACTGGATTCAGTTGGTCAGACAAAAGCAGTACTATTCACCAAATCTCTCAAGATTAAGACTAGAGGGAACTCATAGAAACTGCTTGAAATTAAGTCTAAAACATATCTGAAAAAGGTATGTTTTTGTATCAGGTAGCTGACTTCTGGATTTGACTGCCACAGGAGAAGGCAGTCAGTACCAGCAGATTCAAAAAGCAGTTGCTTAAGGTCATGAACAATACATCCACAGTTGGATATGAAAATCAGGGGGACAAGGTGGTCCCTTTCAATGTCTCTAATCAAATGACACTTGGGGCTGGGAACTTCTGAGGGAATGCACTGCAGAAAGTGGCCAGGTTCATGCAATCTCATAAATAGCATCTCATGTGTCTGTTGGAGACAGAATACTGAGCTAGATGGTCAACTTGTCGGACTTAAGACAGCTGCTTTTTTTTTTTTTTCATTCTTATGCTATAAAGGTTATTGTAAATAACATGAAATACTAGAGATTTTACTTGAGATACTGACACAACAGTAGTTCCCATGGTAACAGATAATGACTCAGTTCACTACATATAGATACGTATTCTTGAATGATTTCATTTTCTTTGCATTTTAATGAATCTGTGAATTTCATGTTGGACCTTGAATTCAGCTTTAAAGGTCTTGAATGATAATAAATGATGATTGTTTGCCCAGAAATTTTAGGACTACATAGCAGTATAAGTGTAACTACCCATGCTTCTGCTTGATAAAATGCTTAAGTATGAAAAGAGAAGTAATGCTGTAAGTTTTGTAGGTGTTTGTGAAAGTTTACAATAGAGTTCAGCTTGCTCTATTTTCTGCTGACACAGTAGAAATAATTTTATATAAGGGGGCATCCTGTTTCACTGATGGTTTTTGGAGATGAAATAATAGCTTGTTGCATGATTCCAGAGCCACTGGATCTTTTAGAAATTGTTTTTTAGCCATTATTTTCCTTTTCTGTGCTCAGTGATTGGAAAATGAAACAGCCCCTTCCTTTCTGCTCCAGTTTTGGACAGAAGTAATCAGTTCTATTATAAATGTAATTTTTATCTGTTAGGAGAAGGCTCAGGCTTGAGGTTTAAGCAGTAATTCTTACTGGCAGCTGCTCAGAAACGAGGGCCACCTCCAAGAGGTAGTGCTACACTGAGGGGGAAGGGGAACATAGGAGGCAGAGATAGGAGACTGTGTCACAGGAGTGGAGAACAGTAAAATGAAAGGATTAGTCAGACCTCTGAAACAAATCATGTGGTTTGGCTTGTAAATAAATACCTCCTCAACTAATCCTTATTGGTTTCAAAAGCTTGCTCACATGACTGTAATTCTGTGTTAAACTGCTGCCTTTCCTTAATTACATGGACATGTTACAGCTTCTGCTTTCCTAGATAGCAGCAATGTAACATTGACTAAGCTTGTTCCTGTGGTCGTAAGTGTAAATTGTCATTTCTTTTCCTAGAGAAAAGCATTTGAAGAAGATAGAGGAGCATGGCTGAAGCAACAGTTCTTAAGTATGTCTACTGATTACAAGCACTCTGAAAATGTGACAACTCCAAGTGCCTTCTTAGGAAGCAAGTATTTGGTTCAAATTATGTTCTTGTAATGTTTTTCTTCCCCTTCCCTCCCCCGCCTTCCCCCCCCCT